TCTTTATATACAGAAGATCAGTTTAGCATACATTAAGTAAAGATTTCAACAGTTTGCTCCCACACAGAAACATAAAGTGAAAAATACTGTTTGAGTACTAGTTATGGCATTAAATCACAATGTACAGCACACTAAGGACAGAGATCCTACATGAGGAGTAAGTGCACAGTGACTCCTGTTGTTGACTTAACAAATTGACACTCTTGTTTATGGCCTCAGTAATCACCCTAGGCTCTTGTCATGAGCTGCCAAGGCTATGGAAGCCCCCTGAGTTCACCGACTCTGATCATATTTAGACAAGGCCATGGTCAAAGTGGAAGTTCTCTCCTCCCTTCAGAGAAAGGTACCTCCTTCTTTGATGACCCGTTTCCACTGGGATCTCACTTGTGGAGATCTTTCATTTAGGTGTTTTTTTTTTTTTTTCCCAGAGTGTCTTGGCTTTCCATGCCTGAAATACTCTCATGGGCTTTTCAGCCAGATCCGCATGCCTTTAGGGCTGATTCTGAGGCCAGAGTGCATAGCTAGATATTAAAAATTTATTTCTAAGAAATCTATGGATTAAAGAAGAAATAAAGGAATAAACTAAAAAATGTCTTGAATGAAAATGGAAACACAGCATACCAAAAACTGTGGGATACACCAAAAATAGTTCTAAGAGGTATGTTTATAACAATGAATCTACCTGCATCAGAAAAGCAACTCATTTTTGCACTTCAGGAACTAGAGAGAAAAAGAACAAATCAAACTCCAAATAGGTAGAAGGGAAGAAATAAAAATCTGAACACAAACAAGTGACACAGAGAATATAGAAACAATATAAAAAATGAATAGCTGGGGGCCAGCACTGTTGCATGGGGGTGAGGCTGCCACCTGCTGTGCCCACATCCCATGTGGGCACTGGTTCAGGTCCTGGCTGCTCCACTTCCAATCCAGCTCTCTGCTGTGGCCTGGGAAAGCAGTGGAAGATGGCCCAAGTCCTTGGGCCCCTGCACCAAAGGGGGAGACCAGGGAATTTCCTGGCTCCTGGCTTCAGATTGGTGCAGCTCTGGCTATCGTGGTCATCTGGGGAATGAACCAGTGCATGGAAGATCTCTCTCTCTCTCTTTCTCTGTTCCTCTCTGTAATTCTGCTTTTCAAATAAATAAATAAATAAGTAAATAAATCTTATAAAAATAAAATGAATAGATGGTTCTTTGAAAAGATCAACAAAATTGATACAAACTTAAGTATGCTAAGAAAAAGGGAGAAGTTTCAAATACACAGCATCAGAGGTGAAAAGGGAGACGGAGACATTATGATTGATACCACAGAATGCAAAGGGAGAGATTGCTATGAAGAATTATATGCCAACAAATTTGATAACCCAGAAGAAATGGTTAAATTACTGGACACTGACACCTTAGCAAGATTGACATATGAAGAAATGGAATATTTAACAGACCAATTGTCTGTCACAAGATTGAATAAGTAACGAAAAGTCTTCCTCAAAGAAATGTCCAGGACCAGATGACTTCACTATTGAATTCTACCAAGCACTTAAAGAACTAACACCAATCCTTCTTGAATTATTTCAAAAAATATAAGAGGGAATTCTTTCAAACTCATTCTCTGAGGCCAACCTTATTTTAGTACAAAATCAGACAAGGATACGATAGAAAAATAAAGCTACAGGCCAATATCCTTGATGAACATAGATGCTGAACTCCTCAACAAAAAAATTGAGAAAATTAAGTTCAAATGTACATTAAAAAGATCATTCATGGGCCGATGTGTTAAGATGCTGCCCGAGACACTGAATCCCACGTAGGAACACTGGTTTGAGTTCTGGCTGCTCTGCTTTCAGTCTAGCTCCCTGTTAATGCACCTTGGAAAGCGGCACCCATTTTGGGAGATCTGGGTGGAGTTCCTGGCTCCTGACTTTGGCCTGCCTCAACCCTAACCATCAGGGCCATTTGGAGAGTGAATCAATGGATGGACAACCTCTTTTTCTCTGTTTCTGCCTCTCTCTGTCAATCTGCCTTTCACATAAACAAAGCAAATCTTTGGAAAAAAAAAAAAAAAGGTTATTCACCATGACCAAGTAGATTTTATCTCAGGGATGCAAGGCTAATTCAGTGTATGCAAATCAATAAACATGACATAAGACATCAACAGAATGAAGGACAAAAGTCATATAATCATCTCAATAGATTTAGACAAGGCATTTGATAAAATGCCAACATCCTTTCATAATAAAAACTGAACAAAGTAGTTATGGAATTAAGATACCTCAACATAAAGCAGGCCATATAAAACAAACCATCAGTTAACATCATACTGACTGTGGAAGAGACAAAGGCTTTCTTTCTAAGATCTGAGGCAAGGCAAGGATATCCAGTTTTACCACTTTTATTTAACATAGTACTGAAAGTACAAGCTGGAGCAATTAGGCAAGAGAAATAAATAAAAGGAATTCAGATTGGAAAGTGGGAAATCAGATTATCACTGATTATAGATGACCTGATATCAGATTATCACTGATTATAGATGACCTGATATAAAATATAGAAAATCCCAGAGACTCCATCAAAAAGCTATTGGAGTTAACAAGTAAATTCAGATATGTTATATGATACAAAGTCAATGTGCAAAAGTCTGTACTGTTATTATACGCCAATAGCAAATTATTTGGAAACAAAATCAGGAAAGCAATACCATTTTCAACAGCTACAAAGAAAACCCTATACATAAATTTACTCAAAGAGGTGAAACAAAACAAAAATTATAAACTATTGGTGAAACAAATTGAAGAGAATGAAAAGAAATGGAAAGGCAGCCTATGTTCTTGGATTGGGAGCATCAATAGTATTAAAATATGCATACTACCCAAAGTGGTTTACAGATGCAATGGAGTCCTTTCCCAAATACCAGTGATATTTTTCACAGAACTAGAAAAGACACTATTAAAATTTGTGTGGAATCACAAAAGACACTGAATAGCTAAATCAATCTTGAGCAAAAAGCATAATGCTGGAGGTGTAACACTATTTGACTTTAAATAGATATTACAGGAGCTGGCACTGTGGCATAGCGAATAAAGCTGCCTCCTCGGCACCAGCATCCCATATGGACTCCATTAAAGAAAGAAATCTTGTCATTTACAAGAACGTGGGTGGAATGGGAGGTCATTATGTTAAGTAAATAAGATACACACAGAAAAATGGGTTTTGCATGATCTCACTCATATATGGAGTCCAGAAAAAGGTGATCTCACTGAAGTCAGAAGTATGGCGTTGGTTATCAGAATTTGAGGAGGGAAAGGATTGGAAGGGGTGATGAAACTAGAAGGAGTAGCAAGAGAGTAGAGGTTTCGAGATCATCCGAAGTATTAGCTTCCCAGTTCAGCAGGTCAGGCAAACCCAAGGTACAAGGATTTTAAATGTTCACTATCCAGTTCCACGAATATTTTAAATTGTTTACGTTCATATCTAAGTCTTCTGGCTTTGAGTCTGTATTATTTCTATTCTGTCTGGTAAGGAATACAAGAAAAGCACACATTTTCACAGAGTCTTAAAATCCTTGAGTTAAAAATGACCTAAAAGAATAATAATATCCTATAATAACTTTCTGATACTATTATAGTAATATGATGTTATTATTAACAACCACAAAACAGCCAGCACTTCCTGAGTGTTTGATATGCCCCTGTCACTATAGCAATTCATTGCAAATAATCTATTTGTATTTTCATTTTTAAAAATTAGGAATGGCATTGAGAGATTTAGTGATTAGTCTAACAGCTATTAGATAATATATAGTAAAGCTAGGTTCTAAACTTGTGTCTATTTGAGTTGAAAACCTATGTCTTTAACCATGCTGTTGTATTGCCTCAAACAATACTGATGAAAATATATTTACATGTACATAGCACGTTTTAATGACTATAGTATTGCTAACCCAGTCCTATTTGAATATTTCTTGGACTGGAAGAGCGTTCTCAATCCTTCAGTAGCCCTTTTCCTTATATGATAGTATCTATTATTACAAAGTTTTTTGATGTGAAATTTAACACTGTGTTTGTCTTTTGGTGAGTCCCATATTTGGCTTACTGGATTTACACAGAATAAGTCAATCATCTCTGTGTGAAACAGGTCAACTAGTTTTTTCTTTGCTAAACTCAATATTCTCATTTTTTTCATATTTTTTTGAAAAATCAAAATTATACCACAAGAAATACACTATTAAGAAAAATAATAATAGACATACATTGTTGAACACATTATTTGGCATACATAGTGTGAAGTCCTTTATGTATCTCTAACCACAGATGAAGAAATTGAGGCTTAGTTAGACGGTTTCATCTTCTATTTCCATGCAACTAATAAGTGACTACCAGGCCAGAATTTGAACTGAAGTCTGCTTGATTCCATACTCTTCTTTATGTTGTACTTGGTTGGCATGAAATGTGATATAGATTTCCCAGAAGTACATGAACAATAGTATGAAACACCCTGAACAGGTAACCTCTTGAATGGCAGCCATAACTTGAACTGAGTGGCTTGACTGGGAGTTGAGAAGATAGGCTCACTATTCAGAATATACATGCTGGAGCTACCACCTGGTCCTACTGCATGTGGTGGGAGAAATAACCTTCATAGCCAGAAGTATTCAAAATTGTATAATTTTTTCCCCATGGATGATGACAAAGATAGAAAAGAAGAGTTAAAGGAATTCCCCAAAGGTAAATAAATCCCGGAGGATACCTGAAAAGGAGAAGAGAGGAGTGAGAATCTTAAATCTTAAACAAAGAAGTATCTAAAGAATCTGGAAATTTCCAGAACTTGTGAGATGTCATAGAGTTGGGAGACTCTAGGTTTTTCTGCTTCTTTTCGTCGGATGAAAATGATGGTAGTTTATAAATGCTGTCATTTTGGGTAAAATAAGACTTTGATGTGTGTATGATTTTTTGTTTTGTTTTAGTTTTAGATTTTGCTGCCTGCCTTCTTTCTTTCTTTTTGTAGACATCGTTCGAAGTGATGTTGCCTTGGATAAACAGAAAGGTTGCAAGATTGCCCAGCACCCTGATGTTATGCTGGAGCTCCAGAGAGAGAAGGCAGCTCAGATGCACTTGGTTCTTCTAAAGGAACAATTCTCCAATACTTACAGTAATCTCATATTAACAGGTAAGGCTGTTGGAGTCAGCTAAAATTTTAGAGCATGTGTTAGCCTCCATCAGTTGGCAACTTGATGCTTAGGGGGCACTGGAGTGGGATCTAGATGAGCCCATATCTGTCTGTCTCCACCCACTTTCCCTTTTCGAATTGTGATGACTCTTGGTCTTTCCATAACAAATATTTCTTGTAGCTTGCAAGATGTATTTTGGCTTGAAGTTATGGGCAGTCCAGCATGGGTTTTCTCAAAAGACAGAACCAATGAAACCCTAATGAAGTCTTGTAAAAATATGACTTTCTAGATGTGTGCCAGTAGATTTAAGAGAATTACTAAATTTGGTGTCTTTTAAAAAGCAGCTATTTTCCTCTTTCTGTGCATGCCCTTTCTATGAACCCAGTGAATATAAAGATGAAATGTAAAAGAGATAATGAACCTTAGGCAGAGCTGCTGAGAATGTTCTATTCCTGATGGAGTTTGAAAATATCTGGGGAATTTGATTTCTTTGTGAGAGCAAAGAGGCTTTGAGACTGAGCAATACTCCCTTACATCTTTGATTCTAGGAGGAAAGTGTATATATATGTCATAGCTGCAAGGAGAAACAACTTTTTGCAGGGCTGTCTGCAAACTTGGCTGGTAAAGAGCATGTGAGTTGCCTGCCTTTGTCAAGCTTTGGAAAAGACTATAATAGCATACTCTAATGTGAGAATCATTAAGAATTTTGTATGAATTAAGAAGAGCAGTCTCAGTTACTTCTATTGTGTTGAGAGAATGCAAGATAGACCTGCTGTCTTATATTGATTCAGATGAGCTTTAATGTCAAAAGTGTATCTTTCCTCTTCTTTATGTGTATTAAAAAATGGAACGTCTGGTAAGCGATGAACATCTCACACTTATTTTTGTAAACTCTAAGTTGGGAGAATTTTAACTTTTTTATAGGCTTCCTGGCATTTCACCAGGAATTTTTGAGTGGCAACCAAATTGTTTTGATTTTGAAAAAGTATAAGACTCTTCCAATTTTTCATCTTGTACCAAATAGAAAACCCAACAGCATGAGATGAAAGCCAGATTTAAAAGTGACTTTGGAGAGCAGAAAAGAGGATTATGGATTTCATAAGTATAGGCCCTGTGTTTTGCTCTTTGATAGGTCATTAATGAGGGAAGCTTAAAGGTGATTTGTAGTCAATGCATGTATTTCCCTAAATTGGTTAACTGGGTTAAATTTAGATGTTTGAGGAGAGCATAGCTTTTGCTCCAAGTTTCTTTGGTCTACCTGAAATATGCACATATATGTATATTTAGTATTTTCCAAATGGGTGATCAGAAATAAAATACTTTAATTTAATCCTATTCTGATATTTGTAGGCAAAATTGGAGGGGTCAGACCCTGTGTTCTTTAATGTGGTGTAGAAAGGACTTAAGGTAATTCTAACCCTAAACTGTGGATCCAGAATATGGCTTGAAGGCTTATTATCTTTGAAAACACAAGTGTTCTATTGAGTTCAATGGAATTTTTTCTAATTCTCAGTAACATAATCCCTTTGGATGTTTATTCACAGTTCAAACTGTTGGAATCAACATTGTCAACTTTTACCCTGACAACTTGCTTACTTTCCACTAAACAAACCTACCCTACAGAAGAGCCTTTTTTCCTGCTCTCACTTTTCCCAAGCTTCAAAGAGTCCTAAGGCATTTTCCACATTTTTCACACAAATGCTTGTGCAGAGGTGGTACCTTAAGGCAGACAGAGCATTCAGTGTGCCCCAGTTTGTTTACATGAAAGTTCGAAAGGTTTTGGTTCCAGGTGTAGGGAAGAGATGGAGTCCTTTCAGTTTAGCACCAGCGGTAAAACTATTTTAATGTCCTTTAACTAAGTCTTTGATTTTCCACAGTGTGGTTTTCTAATTGTTATGAAGTTTAATCCTTGATTTCTTATATAAATCTTGAGAACATGGTCTCCAGACAGCTAAACATAATATTTAAACATAACTAAACTAACTTTTGTAAATATTTCCTTTTTCAGTGATGAATGTATATTGGTAAGGAGGGTGAGGTTGAAGGGGCAGAGACCTCTCAAATGAAGTGACTTTCTTTACCAACACATTCAAAACACCTCTAGAATTTCTGCTTGGTGATATCTACTTATTTTGTGTAACTCTGGCATACTGTTTGAAATATCTACAATGAAAATATTTATGTGAGAATATGATGAGGAAACTGGGCTTCTAAAATCTCAGACAGAGATCACCTTTTCACACCCTGCCCCTGCCACCATTTATTTACAGAATTTCTTGTGTATGGGTATCAATACATAATAATTATTTCCTGGTCAGTTAGTGGTAAATTATTCATTTTAAAAATGATAGAATTAGGATCCCAGTGTAGTGAAAAAATTTAATGGAAGGGATCAAAGTGTCAGATGACTAAAAGCATGTTAGCAATGATAGTTGTCCACTTCACAAGCAAGTCTCATTCTTAGGTATTCCACCGTGACTGTTAGTGGTTGAGGTGAGAAGCACACCTTCATATTCCACATTTAAGCTAATGATCCCTTTTAAGCAGCAACCCCTCAGATAATAGCTAATGATAGTCTAATTTTGAAGGTCTAGTAACCTTTAATAAGGAAATTACTCTAGTGATAGCCCAGTTAATAAGAACTAATACAAACTAATAAAATTTAATGACTTCATCTTGTTGAACTATTCCTCATTAAATTGGATTTTTAGATAAGTGGATTGTTTTCATATATTTATGCATGCTTTTCAACATCCCTTAATGTTTTCTTGTGATTATTTTATGGTATTAGAAATAACATTTTCCTCACCCAGCCTAGAAGGTTTTTGAAGTAAACTGTAAGGTTATGGGAAGGTATGGAAAAATTCTAGTAGGGCATCAGTGATGGAACTATTTCAAATAGTGTGAATCACGTGCTGTACTTTTTACACCAATTTACATGACACACTGTCCTGCAGTTTTTTGAGTCTGAGAGTGTTGTCACTGTGCATGTCACTCAGAGATTGACAATGAGAGGAAGAATTGGGTAGGAGGCTTTAAGAAAGAATAGGAATCAGTTGTCTTAAATTTCTTTGTGTGTTCATATATTCTGAATATAATAATGTTCTATAAATTTATTGAATTGTTCTGCCATGTACATATGAATGGAAAACTACTTGTTAAGGGATAATATTGACATTTATTAATTCAGTTTTACAGGTTCAGTTTCAGTTATTTGTTGCCACTTATCTTGTTCCCTCCCTGTTTTTGAGATGTAAATTGAACTTTTATAGTAGATCTCTTTACTATAATCAAATGAAAAATGTGAAAGTTAAATCAACCTTAAGAAGAAATAAATTTTCTAGAATTTTATTTAGAACATAAACTCCTGGAGGGAAAGGGATATCATATTTGTGCAGCATTATTTGTGCTGTGAAATCATCTCGTTGAGCCTCTGGTCAGCTTGAAACCCTACTATTTACAAATGGGTGGTAGGATTCAATACACTTTTTAAGTACAGAACATTACTTTAGAATTGAGTTATTTCTCTGTATACCTTTCTTGACATCCCAATGAATCAAAGAAGCAGTCTGTTATTTTACAATTGTGCCATTAATTTGGTGAAAATCTAAAATAATTAACTGATAACACCTGTTAATTTTAATTATGTTTCAAAATTAATTTTATTACTGGTATGAATAAATGATTTTCATTCTCAAACCGGCTTCTGTAGTTACACAGTTGAGTGAGTCCACTTACTATTATTTTTGAGATCCTGGGAGGTCCTCCTGTCTCCCTGTTTGACTTACTCCCCTTCTTTAGCTTCTGTACTTAAGTGAACCTATCATAAGCTTATATGCACAGACTGTATTCTTTTATATTCCATATTTTCTTCTGCTCTACCCAGGATACTTGGATCAGCTTCATGTCTCCCATTTGCCATTTTCTTTCTTAAGTCATTAATATCTTTAAAATAGCATTAAAACTTTTTTATTCAGTATTGCTATGTTTTACATTGGTGTCTGAGTATGAGGAGACATCTGCTTTGTCAATTGCTGCTTTTTAGGGGGAGAAAAGTACATTTATCTATTGGTGTGTGAACCCAGGTGGGTGTGATTGGCCACACAAACGAACCAAACCCCTGGCATTTACTTTTGGTTTCATCAAAGTAAGATAATGTTTGAAAATTATGTGAAAAATAACTAGTAAGTAGCATCTTGGCCTATTTGTGTGTCTATTTACATCTTATACAGTGATGTGCATTATATCATCATAGAAATATTTTCTAGAGGGCTAGAATAGTGTCACATTCATATGTATGTGTATATATACACACACACTAAACAGATTTCAGGTTTTCTGGTGAACTTTTTTTTTATCGATTGATTTTTAAGTCAGAATCACACACACACACACACAGAGAGAGAGAGAGGAAGAGAGAGAGATCTCCCATCTGTTGTTCATTCCCCTAAATGGCTGCAGTGGCTGGGGCTGGGCCAGGCCAAAGCCAGGAGCCAGGAGCTTCATCCAGGTCTTCCACATGGAAGTAAGGGCCTAAGCACGCAGGCCATCTTCTGCTGCTTTCCTAGGCCATCAGCAGGGAGCTGGATCAGAAGTGGAGCAGCTGGGACTTGAATCAGTGCCCATGTAGGAAGCCAAGGCTGCAGACAGAGGCTTAACTCGCTATGCCACAAACCAGACCCCTGGAGAAACTTCTTATTATGAAAAATTTATAGACTAGTGCCTCTGTATTAGTTTGGGTTCTCCATAGAGAAATTGGCTCACATGAGTTGGAGCCTAAGAACCTGGGATGCTGGCTCAGTTCAAATCTGAAAGCCTCAGAATCAGGGACACTGCTTGTGTAGTTCTCAAATTTGAAGGCAGAGGCTTAACTTAATATGCCTATGATGCCAGCCCCTGCCTTTTTTGTTTTATCTAGGTCCACAGCAAATTAAACGGTGACTTCCCACATTGACATCAGATCTTCTGTTATGGTTTGGATAATAGTTTGGATGTCTCT